CGTATCCGTCTAGAAAGCTTGGTCCCCTGCATCCTCATACGGGGTTCCAGGCTGACTCACGGAGACGAGCGCGTACGTAGCGACTTCGACTTTCTCGAGATCGCGACTGTACGCGAGCGCGCACGTGGAAAATGGGGGATTGGTTTAGTGTATCGATCGCGTTTGGCATACATGCAAATATCCTACTGAGTCTCATGCTACGTTGGGTGAGGTCTAGTCATTACATGCCATCCATATGACAAAAAGAAGGAAAGAAGGGAAAGGATCATCAACTTCTTATAGCAATCTTGGCGATCGAAAGTTAGCAACTAAACCCAATCATCCATAACGAGCGTTTCCAATTAGATCTGAGCGCATTGCTCACACGAAAGAATAATAGACCGAGACGATACGTGCATCGCAAAACAAGATTGGAAATCCGAAAATATCACTAAAAAAAAAAGGGGATTCACATTCATTTCATGCATACATACGAAATAAAAACGACAAGGAAAATCCGAGACGATTTACAAGAGAAGTCCAAAAAGAAGGCCGCGATAAAATCGGTCATATCAGGATCCAAAATTATACAGATGAAAAAAGAAAAGAACCTTATCCCACACCCACGACTGCTCTTCTCTCTCTCTCTCTCTCTCTCTCTCTCTCTCTCTCTCTCTCTCTCTCTCTCTCTCTCTCTCTCTCTCTCTCTCTCTCTCTCTCTTTCCCCCAACCTCTCCATGCTCCCGATGTGGGCAGTCCGTCGCCTCGCATCAACATAGAGTTCTCACCCTGCTTAGTTTGAGTACGCGAGCCAGGTTCGCTCGTGCGCCACAGTCCGTCGCGACCCCACACGTCAACCCTGCATACCGGACACCAGCTCGCCTAACTCTCGCACTCACTCACCTTTCAGACTTGCTCGTTAGCCGACCCTCACTGATCGCGTTCACCTTGAAATTCGTGGAGAGCAAACTAATCGCGCTTGCAGAATTTATAGCATGCATGCCTGCGCGAAAGGTATGGGATTAAGCTTAGGTGGACAAGAGGAGAAAAGAGGAAGTGCCTACGTCTGCATAGCCAGGCCGCGGCGTGGGGGTCATAGCCACACTCCACGCATCGATCCGGTCATGCAGCCGCTCCGGCCAATTAGAATAGAGCATGCGAGGCGAGGAAGAAGAAGAAAGCGGAAAAACACGAGGAAACCAAGAAAGAAGAAAGATACATTTACAATCGCGCCAGCCACAAGCGGTTATCGGGTAGCTGAAAATTCTGGAATGAAAATTCTGAAGTGAGAGTTTTGGGCAGTCTGAAAATCCTGAATGGTCCTGAAGCGGTGAAAGGTCCGAAGACCCTGAAAACCACCTGTTTAGGCAGGGTGCATCTTGAAGTGGTGAAGAGTGTCCTGAAGTGGTCAAGTTAGAGTTTTGGGCAGTCTGAAAATCATGATTGGTCCTGAAGTGGTGAAAGGTCCGAAGACCATGAAAACCACCCTTCACCACTTGAGGATGCAGCCTACCTAAACAGGTGGTTTTCAAGATCTTCAGAGCTTTCAATGGTCCTGAAGTGGTGAAAGGTCCGAAGACCCTGAAAACCACCTGTTTAGGCAGGCTGCATCCTGAAGTGGTGAAGAGTGTACTGAAGTAGTCAAGTTATTTTGGGCAGTCTGAAAATCCTGAATGGTCCTGAAGTAGTGAAATGTCGGAAGACCATGAAAACCACCTTTCACCACTTGAGGATGCAGCCTGCCTAAACAGGTGGTTTTCAAGGTCTTCGGAGTTTTCACCACTCTGTGAAACCGCCCGTTCATTGAACGCGGGTTTTCCGTTCAGAAACTGAATGGAATGCACGCGTGTTCAATGAACAGGACCGAACGCGGAGTTCAATTCCACGTGGGGGGGGGAAAAAAAAACCTCAAAAATTCCCAAAAAAAACTATGTTATGAAAAAACATAAAATAAACAACTTTTGCCTTATTATTACATCTAAATTCGTTACCAAATTGAAAAAAAAAAAAAAGAAAACAGAAAATAGAAAAAAGTAAAAAAAGAATTGAAATTAGTGAGCGAACACAATTTGACACCGCCATTTTTGGCGATTTTTCATTTTTTTTTACCTTACCAAAATGAATCCAAAATTGACAGGCATGTACCTCACATCATAGAGAACTCATAAAAAAAATCAGAAAAAAAAAAATATTTTTGGGCATAAAAATAATTTAAAAAATAAAAATAAAAAATTAAAAAATAATTGAACGCCGTTCAGTTTTGAACGAGAATTTAAATCCGTGTTCAAACACACATTTGAACGCGAACGCGCGTATACGGCATTCAAACGGTTACACAGTCACCACTTCAGGACCATTCAGGATTTTCAAACCTGGATGGCCCTGAAGTGGTGAATGAAAGGTCCTAAGACCCTGAAAACCATCTGTTTAGGCAGTTTGCATCCTGAATTGGTGAAGGGTGTCCTGAAATGGTGATGAAAAATACGACTGTTGTTAACCTTCTTTCGCACGAGCCAAAACGACAGTTGCACAAGATTAAGGGCGCGACCCAGTCAGAGCCCAGTTCCCAGCGCAGCAAGATGCGCACAAGCACGGCGCGACAAAATTAAGCGTACCTAAATTCTTAGCCTAAGTCCTAATTGCAAAACGAAATCCCGAAAAAGAGAAAAACAATTCCGCGAGCCCAGTCAGGATGCAAACTGCCTAAACAGGTGGTTTTCAAGGTCTTAGGACCTTTCATTCACCACATCAGTTGAAAATTCAAAAACGATACTCACACGCGATGATCGTGCCAAAATTCCCAGTGCTAAGAGCAAAACAAGAAAGAAGCTATGGTACAATTATTTCTCGCGCTCGTCATGGCGCGGCTACCCAACCGTTGGCACGGGATTGTCCCGACACCGATCCAACAACTTCCAGCAGAAAATGAAAAGAAACAAGGACATTCAGGCAATTTGCCCACCCGACCCATCTTCCCACAGTTCACCCATCCAACCTGTCATATTTCCCTAAACAGCTTCGTGCAGAAAGTCGCGCGCTCACAGAAAATATCTCGTCACAACCCATTGAGTGAGATCCCTACAAGCAGCATGATTACCCGATGGAGATATACCGCATCATAGCCCTGAGCTTCTACAGCTTGGAGCCATGCATTGGGATGGGTGTGATTAGGATAGAATAGAAAGGTGGTTGAAATGCTTACCATTACCCGGGGAGCAGGAACATTAGCGTTGCCCGTCGCTGCTGCTCTTGCTTCGGCTGATCTATGATGAGAAGATAAGAGTGTGTTTTATGTTGGGAGCCGTACTTTTTTGTTTTTTTAAACACTGGGGTAGTGAGTGTTATTTCAGAAATAATGGGGCCACAAAGCTGCATAAGATTCAGTGGATACAGTGTGAATATTTGGTGAGCTTCATCTAGAAATAGGGCCTTGCCACACCACTGTAGAAACTAAAACAATATAAGTGCATCTTCACGCAGAGAATGGCAAGATGCATCCTTTACTACGAATAAAACCTTCAGCAAACACAAAGGAACACTATGGCCAACGACCCTATCTCAGTTAGTACACCCACGAACTGTTGAATTATAGACCCAGGTTCGAGTCCAGATGCAGTCAGCTCAACAAATTAACATGGCCATGCGTCTCCGGCCCCACTCTTCTCCTCGACCATTTTCAGTTTGGCTATAAACCTCCTTGGGATTTCTTCCTGATCATTTCTGCAATTTCAGTTCTCGGGCTCACGTCACTTTTTCACGGCTGCACTTTTTCGGAAACAGAAGCTCCGTTTTGCAAGGCCAAAACTGAAACGACACTTTTCTGACGTTACAGAATTAACTACTGTAAACAAATGTTGAGAGGACCCGTGCCCCGTGCAATATAATCCCTCTGTGCAACGAATTTATTTTATGAAATTGCATCGAATTCAACCCAGCTTCCACTGAACTAGAGCCTACACAACCCGCCTCCCCCCCCCTCTTCC